CAGAGCGGTTCCGTATGTCAGTGCGGGCGCGGCTACGCCAGGACGGAGCAGGTGAACTCCACTCGCTGCAGCGCGCCTTGTGCTGACGACCCGGGCAGAACGTGCGGCAACCCGCAGTCCGAACAGCTCAACGACGTCTACACATACTGTAAGGGCCCGCCCCCGTCTGCCATACGACACGATAGGTTCTTCTTCTTCTTCTTCAGTTTACGTGTCGAAACTTCGTTAGGTCGAAGACTCATGACACGGGGGGGGGGGTGGTCGCTTTATTGTAACGTTTGTATGGGGGTGAGTAAAAGGAGGGACCCAGCTCCTCAATGGGCAGGGGCGCTACTCCCTGTCCGCCACCCTGCAAGTGGGTAGCGGTGAGGTTTACGACGTCGGGAGCAAAATCAGGACACTCTTAAGCTTTGGACACTGTCGGTCGTGGATATAACCTACAGACATCATCAGTCTTGTAACGGACGTTCCTACCACAAAGAAATCGTACAATGGATGCCATCATGACCACCGTGTACTTGTTTTAATCCCAGTGCCTAATAACAAAATCCGGATAATTCTCAGTCCTACGCGGTAACATCATTTACTTCTGCATTATTTACCGGCTGCATTTTCTCCGTTTTCATCTGCGTTTGGAAATTTTAATAATCATACTACTTTATTGCCTTATTTATTTATCATTTGTAACAAACTCTGTATTATTCCCAGCCCTACACGGCAACATCATGTACCTCCCCATGGACGAGAAGCGAGACAAGAACCAGGAGTTTGTCGGTAACCCGCCGGCGTTCGGACACAACGGCGCCGGGCTCACGGACGGAATCGTGGGCAAGGCGCTGACTCTCAACGGGAACGTCCAGTACCTCAAGACTCTGCCGTTAGACGGGACCTGTCTGGGCAGCACTGTGAACTGTGAACAGGTTAGATCCGCGAAGAGTTTCGTCAGATTGGCAAGGCAATTAATACGAGAACACATATATAAGATTATTATCATAAATTTGCATATATTGCATACAGCTAGTCTGGGCAGCACTATGAACTGTGAACTGGCAAGTCACTTTATAACTTACACATATCTAAGATTCTTTGGCAGTTATTTACTAGCATCTTAGATTATTATCATAAATTTGCATACCGCATGAATTGCCCCACACTACCCTATTTTCTATTCCGGGTATTATTATCTGTCGAACTTTTTGGCGACGTCTCAGGGAGGAGCCTAATGGTACTGTATTGTGTGCAGTTTGCAAGAATTCTAGGAATGGTACAGGCATTTTGTCCACAGGCATGTGGAATGTCCACAGGCATGTCTCTGACCCACATCTATGCCCACATTCCTGGAAACCCTTGGGAAGACCTCTCTGCCCCGGATGGCCCTACTTTCTGTGACCCCAGGGCTCATTCACTATACACTCAGGGGAGGAGTGCACTGTATCTGTCTAGACTTAACAAGTCTTCCTCAAAATCATGAAATGATGGCAGTGACATGCAAACAATAACGCTAGCAGCAACCACCGTCGCCATGGCAATGTATGTTTTCATTGCCGGTCTTGTTGAGTATTTTTTTATTTTCCTCATCCTTCCTGTAGTTCTGAACAGATCTTTGATGGTATCTATATTATTCAGGGTTTCAGTATCGGGATGTGGATTAAGCTGATGTCGGAACCGTCGTCTGACCGGTACTTCCTGTCCAGCGGAGGGCACTTCCCCAAGTCCTTCGGACTCAACTTCTACTACGACGTTCCGGACGGACCGGGCTTCTGGATCACATATGTGGAGGAATGGTGCACGGTAATAGGAACAGCTTTTCAGTTCGTTAATGGTTCATTTGATCTGTAGATGAATTGGAGATTGCAACACTTGGCGAACCAAGTATTTTAAAGGATAGTTTTATCATATTTTGCTTACATCTATTTGCTTGTTCCATCGATAATAAGAAGATAACAACGGGGACAATTAGCATTCTGTTTTCAGCATTTTTCTATGATTATGGATTCTTATTTTCAACATGTCAAAACATTATTGCACGGATGCAGGACTTATGGTCCTTAGTAAGTATCATGAGGACTGAATAGATCTCAGAAACAGTAGGACGTTTCCGCTAACATCCACTACCTTTCGTCGGTGACTGAATACTACCTGACCGTTTTCAAAATCTGTCTAGCTGATCGGGTAACTGATACATCTGTATCTTAGTATCCTGCATGTCTAACCTTCATCGACGTGTTTTGCTGCATCTTTCCTTGCTGTCCGACCCAGACTCACTTCGAGCTGCCGATAAACGTGTGTTTGTACCTGGTCCTATCCTGGAAGACAATAATAATAATAATGATATTAATAATAATACATGTAATAATAATACAGTGTACAAATCTGTTCTCCCGACCCAGACTCACTTCGAGCTGTCCATTAACGTGTGGATGTACCTGGTGCTGTCCTGGAAGCCAATAATAATAATAATAATGATATTAATAATAATACATGTAATGATAATACAGTGTACAAATCTTTTCTCCCGACCCAGACTCACTTCGAACTGCCCATTAACGTGTGGATGTACCTGGTCCTGTCCTGGAAGCCAATCATAATAATAATGATGATGATGATGATAATAATAACAATGATGATGATGGTGAGGATGAGGATGAGGATGATAATAATAATGATATAATGTACAAATTTCCGACCCAGACTCACTTCGAGCTGCCCATTAACGTGTGGATGTACCCGGTCCTGTCCTGGAAGCCAATAATAATAATAATAATAATGATGATGATGATAATAATAATAATACAGTGTACAAATCTTTTCTCCCGACCCAGACTCACTTCGAACTGCCCATTAACGTGTGGATGTACCTGGTCCTGTCCTGGAAGCCTTCCTGTGACATCAGCATCCACATGAACAGCACCATGATCAAGTTCACGTCCACTCCCAAACGGATGAGACCAATGCAGAAGGTCAGAAAGAAAATAGCGTTTTTACACCTCTCTCTCTCCCTCTCTCCCCCCCTCTCTCTCTACATACTCTCTCTGTATATATATATGATATTCTGCATGGTCTTTTGGGAAGTAAATCAGTTCCCAGAACTGTCGCACGACTTGCCAGACCACGACTTGTTTCAATCATTTCCTAAATTTGTTCTGCCACAATTACAGCGATATCATATTCTGGAATCACTGTAATTATACTTAGAACCGCTAAATCACCATGCCTGTACTTAACTTGCAAGGGTATAAAGAAAGGTACCATGATCAAGTTCACGTCCACTCCAAAGCGGATGAGACCAATGCAGAAGGTCAGAAAGAAAATAGTGGTTTTACACTTGTAAAGTTGTATGTGTATATCCTATTGTACATGGTCTTTTGTAAATGTTTAAATCAGTTCCTACAGCTGTCGCACTATTTTCCACTATTTTATGTTTCAATGATTTCCTGAATGTGTTGTTATGCCACAGTTCTAAGTACAATTACAGCGACACCACGCTCTTGCATCGCCGTTATTGTGCTTAGAACTGCTGTATTACCTTGACCTGAACTTAGGTTGTAGGAGTATAAATTAAAAATTACGGCTTTTGGTTGCAAATCAGCAGCCGCACCAAACCCGGAGTGTTTTTTGGCACATATTTTGACAGATAAGCGTAAGAGGCTCGGTGGGCGTCACTCCACCGTATATAGGTGGGGAAGTCGTGTAAAGTGCCTTTCCCAGGGGCACAACATCGGGACACGGTGAGTATCGAACCCGGGACCTATTGATTCCGACTCCAACGCTCTACCGTTGCGTCACCGACGACACTGTAAGAGTATAAATGTACGACAAAGGTGTTTAATTTATTTATCCTGCCCCTGACAGGACGAGTACACCAGCCTGGCGATCGGAGCGCCCAACACCCTGAGTGACGTAGCCGGCATCACGGGAGACTTTCTTCTGGACGAGGTTCGCTTCTGGGACAGGAAACTGACGGGGAAGGAGATTTACGAAGTCATGATGCACGGTGGGTTCCGAGATTACATTTAGGCCACACTGACTCAATTTTATGGATGACATCCTGTGGAGACCCCCAAACTAGAGCGCGCGGGCGAACAAAAAAAATAGTACATGGTGACTTTTACGATGAGCTGGCTTTCTGCGGCATCCATGAGTCGGCACTGTACTATACTGAATACTGGAGTTCCGTTGTGAGCTTTGGCAGCCCGGGTGCCATCCTCCGTAGTTACCACCGGCTCCCTATTGTCGCCAGCTACCATGGACTATGTAGGATATGGCACCCAGGCCAGAGCCTCGGAGGAGGGGATATTTTGTGAGAACAGGCGAAAATCAATGCGAGCGCGGATGTCATCCATAAAATTAAATTGGTGTGGCCTTAGATTCATACTTGGGAGCTCTCGTGTCTTCCGGTGATTCGAAAGTTGATAGATCATCAGGCCAATATCCTGGGAATATGTAAGATGTGCCTTCTACCCGAAGATATGGCGATGGCTTTTTTTGATGACCCATTCATATTTTCTAACCAGACCTGCGGATGTCAGGTGACCACTACCACCCTCCGCCGGGGTCAAAGGTCATGAAGGGCAAGTACAAGTGCACCGGAGAGGAGCCGCTACTGGGCATGTGCGAACACGAGGAGGACCCCTCATTGGCTGACGAGCTGTGTGACGCAAGCAACCTGGCCTTCGTGCGCTGTGTCCGTAAGTGCACCAGTATTGTCAGTACATTACTGCCAAACATGCGATTTTATATTCCCACCCCCTTCTGTAAATGAGAAATTTGATGATGTTGGATTTGTAGGATAGGATTAGTTATAGGATTCAAGATATGGTTAGGTTATTAATGTTGGACATAGTATTAGGAATAGGGTAAGTGATTAAGGAATATTAAAGATCAAACATTTTTCAAAACAGATGCGGCATCAGAAATACAGAGTCAGAACCATTTCCAACATGAAGACTTTAAGCTCCAAGATCTTTCGGTGGCCACAAAAAAGGTATCAGGCAGTATCCATGAGCCAAAGAGTATCCATTGGGGGCTAAAGACTACTGCCTTGCCACCGGCCTATGGATACTGCCTTGACACCGTATGATCTGCTTGGAGATTAGACGACTCTCTCTTCTGCAGCTGACTACGTATACAAGAACATAGCACGTCGGCAGAACGCACTGCGCCTGTGCAGAACCCCGTATTTTTGCGTTTTTCGTTGGATTTTTGGTCAACGTTGCATCAGAATATTGCCTGTTGCAGAGGATATTCTTTCCTACATAACATTTGGAAGCTACTGTCGAAATGCTAACCTTATATGAGTGAATACAACCTTATATGAGACATTCTGCCGAAATGCTATGTACAATACATTACGGGTTTCGCGCAGGTGCAGTACCTTCTGCCGACGTGCTCAAGAACATTAGCGTCATAAATAGATGATATACAACCCTTCCCAACATGACAACTCTCCCCCCCCCCCTGCAGCCAACGGCTGGTGGGACGAGTGGTCGCCGTGGAAGGCGTGTGAGAACGGCCGGCAGAGCCGTACCCGGACCTGCTACACCCCGTCCCCGCTCTACACCAACAACTGCACCGACAGCCCCGGGCCGAGCGAGCAGATCAGGGCCTGCCAGGATGAAGAAAAGGACGAACCGAACTAATGTTTATCAGTTTGGCTGTTCAGGGCAGTCCAACTAGCCAGTGGCTTTTACAGAAGGCTTGCTTGCTGATAAGACAGGGCAAAACATTACGCCAGCATATAAGATGGCTTAACTATTCTACAAAACTTGCATTGTGCTATGTAAATAAATTTATTTATTTCTTCAAAGGGACTTAATCTACGAAGGATACCATGTGGAGAGGTCAGGGTCAGTGTGAATAGATTTAGGGTCGTCCAGACAGTCCCAGAGCTTTCTTTTAAAGGAGGCAGTATAGAATTTAACTCCACAATGACACGTGGCAACCGCAGCATGGTGTACATAGGAAAATACATGGCAGACAAAGAGAATCAAAGACTATGAAAATGTGTGCGTTTTCACTGCGTAATACTAGTATACTGTAAACATACATGATTCTACTGCAACACCTGTAATTGTGTGTAAAGACTTATTTCCGAAGACAATCGATGTAAAATTCCTGGGGCAAATCGAGGGAAAGGCTTAATTAAGCGATATCAGTGTATCTAAACACCACAATAAACTGTGTATATTAGATAACTTTGAGTCGTCTCATCTCTTTGTGCCTACTGCAATTTCACTTCCAGGTATGATTCATACTGGCCATGCCAGATCAAGCACTTGATCCGTCATAATGAATAAAAATTTTTATGAGCTTTAAAAACATTAATTGTGACCACGACATGAAGAGCTCCAGTTTTCATTTGCCTGTACATTTTGAGTCTTACATATAATGTCTTCCGTTAACTATGATTTTTTTTAGAAAAACTCAGTAAATTCGTCTAAAAATGTCTCAAGACGAGAGAGAAGAAAATCGTAAATCTTAGATATAGATAAAACGTAGGATAGTCTTCTAACGTACTGCATTAAGCCCCATTGGTGCATGAATGTGCAATAAATTTCATTTTCATTGTTATAAAGACGAGACGACGTGAGATGGCTTTATTATGAACTTGACCGACGGGATGTTTGACTAGATCAGACAGGTCCTTCTTGAACTACAAACATGTATAACCGCAGAGTTCGTGACTGTTAACGAGAACTTCGCCCTGAACATGCAGGAAACAATGAGTTACAAAACACGCCGCGATTGAACTTGATCAGATCTATGTCATCTTTTCTTTCACCCAAACTCGGTCTGTCGTCGACCTTTGTCCAGTGTAAACCAAGAAGCGACATCAGGTTCAAGGAATTGTCAGAAATGATGCCCTGAAACAATGAGAAGATATTACCAAGGGTGGTTTCCACGTGCATAGCGACTATTTAAGTCCTGAGTTTTGTTTTAACCTCAATGATGGAGGGTGTGAGGGTTGTGTGTGGTGTGTTTGTGGCATTGCTGCTTGTTTCAAACGCGGTTGCGAGTTTTAACCCACGGTATGAGGAGTTCTCCCATGCCGTTGCTCTGGACCGGACCCTTAAAGACATCCCCCACCGTCTTCTGTGCCACGAGCTGTGTCTTAAAGACGCCTCCTGCGCCTCCTTCCAGTACAACCTAACGTCTGGGTCCTGCCGGGTGAGCAGCTCGCCGGAC